AGCCCCTTTTACACTGTCTGTTCAGGGCAGGAACATTGAGTTGTGATGCCACCTCGCTGTTCTGTATAAAAGGTACGATCAAAGAACAGGGGACTGAGGTGTCTCTCCTCTGAGCTGGGAAGGCAAGCAGCAAGTGCGCCGAAACAATGTCTGTATAAACAGGATGGCCTGCAAGACGGGAACATGGGTGTGTCATTTTGACCGACCACAGGAAATTTAAAAAGTAGCTGGTAGCAGCTAGTGGCTAACTTGAAGAAGAAGAGCTGCTGAAAATGTCTGTGACTGGGAAAACAACAAGGTCCGGGAGCTCCTTACCCTCTGAGCAGAGGATGAGATCAGCCGTCATATAACAGGGACAGCAAATGATGTTATTGCCGCATTATGCCATTATTGTTGTTTATAAAGTGCTGCCACCTCGCTGTTATATGTCAAACTTGAGGCTGGTGCTGTTGTGTTACATGTCACACCCATCATGCCTCTTTTGATTCCCCGATATCAGCATGCTGTCTATAATCACACACTGTAGCAGCATGATGCCACTGTCATTTGGTGCTGTGTAAAAATGCAAAGGCGGCATAAGGAAGGGACTTAGTAGAGGCTCTACAGCACAATCTCTGTGTAAGAAGAGCTCATGTTGAGATGTTTTTATCAGTGAATCTATGCATTAGTTAATGAATAGATGCACCCTGCGGTAAATCCTCACCTGTGAAGAGGGCTTCTTTGGCACGTAGACCTTCCACATCTTGGCTTCCCTAGAGGCGGCCTTTTCCAGAAGAAAAGACAGCCTCTGGCGTCCCCAGGGTTCGAAGAACTTCATTCTTTCCCCTGGTTGAGCCTACCTCCCCACTGGATACAGCTACCTGCACGGTGACACAGCACATCAGAACGTCACTCCAATGTCACCTAGATTCAATTTACATTTCAAACAATGCCTGATGAAACACGAGGGGTTAAGAACAGATTATGGTGTGAATGACAGCGTAGTGTAAGATGATTTCTAAAACAATATTTACTGAAGGTGAGATGAGGTGATGATCAACAGCAATTTGGTTCCCAGCTTTTTTTGGCTTGTGACCCATCCATTTGCATCCCATCACCATAGTTGCATATAGTAGTGTAAATTGTGCCCAGCCAGCCTCAGTGCACCAATCCCTCTCACACTTGAGTTTTTAAAACTTTTTAAAAGGCATGAGTAGATTAAATGACTCAGTAATTCACAAGGAAGGAGCAGACAGAGCAAAGTAGGAGTGGGTTATATGACTAATGTACTGTGTGACGACATAAATTTGTCAGCTGAGGTGTCATCGATTTTGTTTACACTGTACTATGTACTCTTACTATGCCTTCAATATCTCTAGGTGTATTAGGTCATTGTGTTGCAAACCCATAAGCAGGGCTGCTTTACAGAAATGTTGGATTTTGGTGTGATTTTAGCACCAATGTGATGACATTCTCTGATGTTTAATTTGGACTAAATGAAACCAGACATTCTTGACTCGCTGTTTAAAACATTAATAATTCTCACTATCGATCAATCAGTTTATTTGTTCTGACATTGGTGATGATTAAAAAGACTACTACCAGGAGACCTGAGTGTTCTGGGGGACTGAGACCATTAAGAGCTTTATTGACCAATAAAAGGATCTTAAAATCAATTCTGAAGCTCACAGGAAGACAATGCAGAGACTTTGAAATTGCAGCTGGGTTTTGTAATAACTGCAACTGAGCAATGTTTTTCTTAGGAAGACCAGAAAGTAGAGCATTACGGTAATTTATGTTCCAGGTAATAAAAGCATGCATCAGTGTCTCTGTGGTGGCTTGGGGGACACTAGATGGTCCCAGACACTGGGTTCATATATACATTGATATTGGGATTTATGAAACCTATCAATATCCCTAATCCCTAAAAAAAACATAAACAGAATTCAGTGTTGGGCAAATCATTTTTATACTGCTATCACATGCTGTTAATGATGTAACAAGCATGCAAAGCTAACCGAGGACACACTCAGAGGAAAACTTAAGGTCATGTTTGTTTAACCAGGGTTTGGTGAGGACACTGAGGGCTCTACCTGTGCAGGTAACAGTCCACAGTGTGTTCCAGCAAACCCCAAAGAGACCACATCACACAAACTACAATCAACTGTGTATGCATATAGATAACGTTACATAACAGACCGCTAGCTTTGCCTCAGGCTAAACAGCGACAAAGTGAAACCATGATGCTTCCTATTTTGTCGGGAACTACCCTGATAAACCCCGGAAGGTCCCACTTTATTTGGAAACCACCGGGCCTTCTGAAGCAGGTGCATTCCCGAGCGTTTACTTCCATTATTGCCCTAAATGCGACTACTCCCTGGAACGGAGCTAGCTTAGCTACCTAGCGTCCCTGTGGCGTCGCTAGCAACTAGCTAGCTAACCCGCCAGGTAACACAAATTCATACGTGTTTAACATGTAACTGCTAAAAAATGTTGCTCAGTAACCTTAGATTGTGTCATGTAAAATGAGTTAGGGTGCGTTTGTGACAAAGTCTGCTCGAAAAATACAATAGGGACATTTAAATGGCTGACTCATGTCCAGCAAGTAGACGGAGCCCCGAGCCTACCTCCCCTGCGAAGCGGAGAAAACCACAGTTGGATTTCATCCGGTCCCACTCGGTCCAAGGATAAATTTAGGGGTGAAATCGGGGACCCGTTCTTCGGTTTAGTCGTCCATCCTGGCGTCCATGGTGCTACGTGTTGGGGAAAAGGGGTCGTTGTAAAAAATATATAAAAATAAAAGAACGGAATATAGACAGATGAGTCTACTTCCGAGGAGGGGACTCGGGGGAAGAGAGAGGGACTTAGGCTCCGCCCACATCCAGGCTGAACGGGAGGACAAAACAATGGTACCCTCTGTGGAATATTCCCATTATATTAATATGAATATATTCATATAGGTGACTTTAAATTATGAGCAAACTCCAACAAAGAGTTTATCATGTGTTTGTGATTATTTTTTATTATATATGTTTATTGCTTATTTGAGGGCATAGAAAAAACAGGCCTAGCACATCATTTAAATAACAGTGGCCACACTCAGGGTGACTGGTACAAAGTAGTTGTGGTAAAAATTACTTATACACAAAAGGAGAAATATACACAGCAAGGTGCTTCATCTAAAAAATATTATTACAGTACCCCTTGCCCTGAAAGAATTTCACTACAGAGTCCCAAAGTTTATCAAACACAACACGTTTATCCTCATAGAACCTCAGTATCTCCAGATGTCATGTGTTTGCCATTTAGCTATAAATCATGTGTGGGAGCAGAGAACATTTTCCACACATGTAAAAAATACTTTCGTTGCAATCATCATTCCAAATAAAACAGTTTATTATTTACACATGATGTATATTAGAAAATAATATAAAATACAGTGCATTATTCATACATTTCAGGAGGATATATCCATCCTCCTAAAAAATATCTATTTACCTTTTACTTTAGTGACAAAAAAACACAGAATATGAATGATAAGAAGAGCTGTGGATGGCTTAAATGACAAGAAAAAGCAAATTCTGTATTAACCATAAGCGTCCATATTATATTCATCATTCATACTGGTAACCTGTTTGTGTCATTGTATATTGGTTTGCACTTATTTGCACCTTACTGTTAACTACTTTTACTGTTTTGTCCCCCATGGTTAGCTGGTTTTTATATTTTAAACCTTACTGTCACATATAGTTCTATATCTAGTATATATTTGCTTTATAGTGTATTTTACATTTGCTATAAATGTGCTTTTCTGCTGTTATTGTAGTCCTTGTATATTGCACGCTCACTTTGTATCTACAACTCCTCTAACTGTTTTGCAGCTGCTGCACAGCAATTTCCCTAAAGATAAATAAAGTCTTTTCTTATCTTATTTATTTTCATTACCCGTTTCATTTCAAGTAAACTCAACTCTAATTTACAGCAAAATGTAGTTGTAAACCTGCCCATCCTACGGAATCCACATTCATCGAGCAGACACACACATTCAGTAATCATCAGGAATTAAGTTGACTTTTAAATGTGGACACAGTTATTGTGACAGATCTTGGAACATCAGGATGTTTGTTACAGAAAACAGGACCAATGCACACAGCATCATTGCCTAGTAGTAGTGATATAATAATAATACATTGCAGTGTCTTTCTCCAGCAATTTTTTTGTAGTCCAACTTAATCAGCTGAGTCATTATTAGTTTGCATGATATCAACTTTGTGGTTGATTCCTCTGTAACTCTGACAATGATGTAATCCAGGGAAGTGCTGTGCACTGACGTTTGGAGATGAGGTGGTGCCTCAACAAAGCGGAACTCCAAAATTTTTGCTGACTTTTCTTAACCACTACAACAGACCGTTAGTGCCTGAAGAAATGATCTGAATATGACAACAACAGCTAGACAGAATTACATACAGTGTGTCATTATTGTTTTAAAACAACAATATAGTCTGTTATATTGGTGGGTAATTGCCTTATTTATTTGTCTGTATTTATTTCCCTGTGTTACTGACACTGCAGCTGTCCCACAGCCAGGCTGGGAACCATTTTTAACATCCACAGACGTTGTTTCTGACATCTATCATAGAGTCAAAAGGCACTACGTAATGCTGCGATTGCGTCAGGACTGTACCGCCATCAGCCAATCACAGGATCCCATTTTGGGCGGACTATTTGAACGTACCAAACTGCGGCTCTCTGATTGGCTGAAGGAAGCGTCAATCAGAGAGGGGTGGTGTCATGTAACAGACAGGCTGTTCTTCGATTGTAGCGGCATTTATGGGTGAATTGACTATTAATTATCGATCTAAAGCACAAACCGCTCGACGATAATGATATTAATTAAGCTAAAACGTTAAAAAAGCCGCAGTTTTGCGCTTTTATTTGTACCGTTAACACCGAAAGGGAGTGATTGCTATTCTCGAACCCAGCCCTCTGATTGGTCGCTGCCGTGTGACGTTGTATGTGGGCGTGAGCGTTGTGAACATCAACAAAAGAGAGAAGAAGAGAAAGGAGAAAGAAGAGAAGACGAGAAGGACTGTACGCTACAGCACAAGACAACAGATATGTGGATTTAATTTGCAACAACAGGTAGAGTAAACCTTTTAAGATATATTTAAATTACATTACACAAACTTCTACTAACTACGTTCGCCTTTTTCTGCTAACGTTAACAGAGGAGAGGAGATGAAAGTGAACGGTCGACAATGGGGACTTAATTGTAGCTTTAATTAACAAAAGAAAATGATTGTTGGGAATTAATAACGTGTCTATATTTCCTGTGAGAAATATGAACCCATAGCACAGCTTTGACAGGGTTTACAGGGAGAGTTTGTAATTGTATTGTATTATTGTCTATCTGCCATCTCTGTAAGGGAATGGTGGCATTAAAATGAGTGCTTTCTTTTTATTTTGGTGGCTTTACGATTAAAAATAAGTGTGATATTCTGTTTTGCACGTACGCCTTCCTTCCTACAGTCAGGGATGTGTTTTTCTTCACGTCTGTTGTTATTGGTTTCCCCTGGATCCGTCTCCTGTATAAAGCTGGGCTTTTTAACACGATTAAAACCACAGCGACAAACCATAACAAGCACATTTTAATCGACTTAATGCGTTTATATCGATTTAATCTATAAAACATTCGTGTTTTAATCGATGCTGGTGTTAAACAGCACAGCTTAATGGACCTATTAAGGTTTGAGGAATGAAAAGGAGCAGCCCCTCCCCCGCTCCGACCACAGAGGATTTAAAAACGTTAGCTAGCAGCGGCTAGCGTTAGCATCCGCTATAAACGATAAAACTCAGAGTTTCCGGCCGTGTGGTTTGTGTTTTTGTGTGTTTTCGGTTGTTTATTAACAGACAGGACCTTGGAAAAGTAGTTGTTTTTCGGTCAGGGGACAGGGAAGGCGTCTACCAGAGGAAATCTGACACTGGAGCCCAGCTGAGAGAAGTGGGCTGGGCTCTGAGCTGTGACCCCTGTTAGGGCTCACCGTGAATGTAGGCCAACAATATACTGTAACCTTATGGTAATAATACTCAACACGGCTCTTACCAAACATGGATAAATAAAGGCATTATAACAGCTCCCCAGATATAAAACAAGAAGCAATATTTTCTCATTTAACACAATTTCCAAATAGCCTTAAAACCAGCTGTGTTTGTTGCTGTCTCCAAAAGTGTCTTTGGCCATAAAATACAGTTTATTTCATTTTAAATTAAACACATTACTTGTTTGGTGCACAAATACAAAACTCTTTAATGTATATTTAACATATATTACACATATTGTATATATCTTTTGTTCTCATGTCTCCATATGTTTAAATTGTGTTGTGCAATGTAGCATTATACTTATATTTTTATACCTCTAAACTTCACATACTAGTTTCACACACCTTAATGTAGCATAAGGCACATATTTTAATATTTTTACACACTTTACATACCAAGCATATATACATATTTTATATTTTAAACACTGGCATTAACATTGTAGCATAGTACACATATTTTATTTTAATATTTTTACATACTTCGCACTTTATTCTTCTTATTTCTGCTTCTGTAACTCTCAGTACTTAACATCAGAGACTGTAAGGGTTTGCAATTTCTATCTTCACGCTCAAAGATGACAAAATGGCACGCGTTCTCCAGAGCCAAAGGTTACGTCTTTAGGTGTATTTACATAGGAGAAGCCGGAAGCAGAGAGGTTTACATGTTTGGATAAAGATCTGCACAACCAATCTAATCAATCAAAATTGTCCTTGGTACATTTTCTCTTGATTAATCGTGGTGGTACAGGCGTTTCTGACTTTATTTGATTTTTTAAAATAGGTTTTGGAGGGGGTAAATTGACATTGTAAATGGAACATGTAATACCAGACTCATCAGAGAACTACTTACTACTGTATACTACAGGAGAAACAAATACTTAAAGTGTCTAAGACACGGCAAACTTTAAAGACTGACAACTGATCCAGATTACAATTGTGATTTTTGTGGATTATATTTGTACTTCGAACCGGTCGGGGGACTTTCTGACGTGATTTCTTGGTTATGTTGTGGAGCTCAACTTTGGTACTTTCCTGTCTTGCAGTGAAAAAACTGTGCTGAAACCAAGAGATTACTTCCTCCAGTGCCGGCTCAAACATGGATGCCTTCAAGCTGATGAAGGAGCTGAGGGTGAATTATGAGCAGGAGGCTTATTATCTCCCTAAAGAGACGGGGCTGAGCCTCATCGAATCCACAACACGGGTGAGCACACATGGAGCATTAATCTGTAGTAGAGTCAGTAAATGGGAAATATTTCTCGGAGCATTACCCAAATTTAGAAGTTCAAATATATTTAAATTTTTGAATAAAATGCAAAAATAAAATAATGACTTTCTGAGCTGCTTTTCTAGTATCACTGGCAGGCCTTTGAAATACTTCTCTACCAAAATTAAAGTAACCCGCAGTGTGTGGCAGACAAACCAGTTTAATCAACAACATATCTTTGTTTTCCAGGATGACAGCCGGATCTCGGCCAAGTGCAGAGACGCCAAAGTGGAGGACCTGTGGAGTCTGACCAGTTTCTTCGGTTACAGCACGCAGACCTTTGTCCTGGCTGTTAACCTGCTGGACAGATTCCTGGCCATGATCAGGGTAAGAGATGCTTTCACCTGATAGGATCAGACACAGTACACTTTAGCTTTGTTTTTCTGTCTGCTGTTAAAAGGGTTTGTAAAAGCCTGAAACCTCTCTAGAGTCAGTGTAACAGCAGAGAGACAACAGAGTAAACAAGTTACATAATAAAAGTATTGTCTGATTTATACTTCGTACTTCCTTAGCGAGCTTGTTACTAAATAATAAATCCACTGCAGTGAGTAAAATTATTGTTGACGTAACTGGGTTCAGCTCAGTGGTCCCAACGGTTACTTACTCACGTGTCGTCCACCTCAGATCCAGCCGAAGCACCTGTCCTGCGTCAGCATCAGCTGCCTCCACATGGCGGCCAAAGTGACGGAGGAGGAGTGCAACCTGGCGCCTACCGACGAACTCATCCGCATCGGACAGTGCAGGTTCACCGTGTCCGACCTGTGCCGCATGGAGAAGATCGTCGCCGAAAAGCTCAACTTCAAGTCCAAAGCCATCACTGCCTTAACCTTTCTGGAGCTGTACCACCAGATCACACTGTCACACTCCACAGACAGGTGAGAGCAACACACATAGGGAATTATGGGTAACCTAAAAGGCAACTTAAGTTTCTCACTCAATACTAGGGCGATTACAAAAAACGTTCTCCATAAGGACATGAGAATACTTTTACACTCCTGCTAGTTGTCCCTTGTTTTAAGATTTATCCATTTGTTTATTTCTAAAAAAATCTGCTTGTAGAGACTTGGAACTAGCTGCACATAGATATTTACAGTCAACATTTAGTCAGCTTCAATCTTCAGCAACAAACACACACTGTAGATTTATTAGCTTCAATTAATTTCTATGAAAATCTGCTTGTAGAGACATGAACCTTGTTGCACGCAGATAATCAAAGTCAACATTAGCTGTCTCTTTTCTCAATATGCAGGTCTGCAGCCCTTGTCGAGGCACATCCAGGATGTGTTTCTGAATGTGAATATAAAATACCAGAGTTCAGATCCGTGTGTGAACTCAGATTTTCCCATGATTTGATTGGCCGCGCTCCTCCACACCACTGCTTGTTTGTGACAGCGGTTGCACTTGAAATAGGGCAGCAGTCAGCTATCAGCGTCTGACTGAAGTGCACTGATAAGTTCTGTTGTTAACGGCCACTGAAAGCAACACCTCACACTTGCATAACCCCAAACAGCGGGTATTGTTTTTAATGCATGGGTGCACTTTGGATCAAAACTCAACACTTGCACTTTAAATCAAGTTTTTACAACGTTACATGTTTTATAGCAGCCTCAAAAAGCTTTAAAATCCTTGAGTTAGTAGTTACGTATGTCTTATTTTCTATAGTGTCTTAAAAAGTGTTGATGTCATGAGTTATTGTCTGGGAAACATCATTAACCTGAAAACACAGCTGAACCTGACTCTGTGTGTGTCTGTGTGAACAGGAAGCAGACTCTGAGCCTGGAGAAGCTGGAAGCTCAACTCAAAGCCTGTCTGTGCAGGATCTCCTTCTCTAAAGCAAAGGTAGGAATTCACCGCAGGGCGTCGGAGGTCAGACGGGATCACGGTGGCTCAGCACTTTAATGAGACGCCAATGTGACACTGGAAGAACATTAAACATGTTTCTGTCTGTTTGTCCACGCAGCCGTCCGTATTAGCCCTCTCCCTCCTGAGGCAGGAGATCGAAGCCGTGCAGTCGGAGGACATGTTGGAAATAGCCTATCACATCCAGAGACACCTAAAGGTAAACATGCACGACTTTGTTACACAACTACTCAACCAGTGAGGGAAAGCAAACACCTGTGGGAACCTGATGCATCGGAAAAAAAGAAACAGAAAGTTTTTCCCACAACAGAGACAGCAACACTCTCAGCAGCAGCTCAGAATAAATTTAATTCAGGGGAAATACGAGTGTAAAGCAGGTGAAATTAACCGCTGCTATCAGGTCACAGACTCACCCGCAGTAACCTCACACAAACATTAACATGACAAACAACTTCTTTAACCAGCCACACAGCCTGCAGGCTTTTTTTAATTCCATCCAGTTTTTGGCTAAACGTAAGAGAAGTGAACGCAACGCAGAATTATGTTGTGATCATGTTCTGATTGGCAGCAGGAGCGGGGGTGGGGTTTGGGGGGTGTCTGTTTATTCTTGGCCCAGCTCTGGTTCAAAGCATTTTTTTTCTGTGGACAGCGGTGGTTATGTAACGAGGTGTCTTGTGTTGTGACAGCTTGACTCGACATGTTAAAGGAAATGAGACTTTTGAATGCTTGTAGTCACGGTGGGATTTCTGAAAACTGTCCCAAATGTTTGAGCTTCAATTCTTAAAGCTCTTCTCTATCCATCATTAAATCAGAAAATCTTCAGTTTGCATCCTCTTCTACTTCCCTGCCAAAGTACATGTGCTAATATAGAACCAGTATTGGTTTATTTTTTACATTTTTTGTTTTTTTTATTTTACATTTAGAAAAAAATACAGTTGTATGAAAAGATTATTGGCCCTGGTATGTTGCTGCCACTGTGACACTTTTACTCAGTTTACAAACACTTAAAAGGTTCAGGTGCTCAGGTTTCAGCACAAGCCTACAGACACAGTTTGCACCTGATTTCTCTCACCCTCCTGACCTGTAAAAAGAAACCAGGTTACAGTTTACAGGGACATACTGTTAAGTAACTAGAGTGTTTTAAATGCACTGATGTCAGTCAGCGAGCATGGCCCAGGGCCAAATTGCTAAACTGTACTCCTGTGTTTGGTTTCAGATTACAGACGCCGAGCTGCTGCTGTGGAGCGAGCGTGTGGCGCTGTGTCTGTCGGACTACGCCTCCCCCGAATGCAGCAAGCCCAACCACAGGAAGCTGCAGTGGATCGTGTCACGGCGGACCGCCCAGAACCTGCACAGCTACCGCACCGTCCCCGAGCTGCCCACCATCCCAGAGGGATGCTGGGATGAGAGCGAGAGGTGAGAGCCACATACACACCTGAGCAACACGCTAATGCTGTCAGAGCCCCAAACACACCTGAGCTCCAAACACGCTAACGCTGTCAGAGCTCCAAACACACCTGAGCTCCAAACACGCTAACGCTGTCAGAGCTCCAAACACACCTGAGCAACACGCTAACGCTGTCAGAGCTCCAAACACACCTGAGCTCCAAACACGCTAACGCTGTCAGAGCTCCAAACACACCTGAGCAACACGCTAACGCTGCCAGAGCTCCAAACACACCTGAGCAAAACATGCTAACACCGTCAGAGCTCCAAACACACCTGAGCAACATTTCCTCAGAGCTTCTTCTCAGAGTAATAAACGACATGTTAGGGCGTGTTAACCCAAGTATGCATGGCTGCGTGTAAACGGGAATATTACAAGAATATTCAAAACCCAGAGTGTTTCGTGCACGTTAACGTAGTCAGCGTGAGAGTCCCAAACACTAGTGAGCAGGTCATGTAATGCAGGAAGTGCAAAAGCTTAATGACGGAGGAAAAAAGACGAGGTCGTTGGGAATATAAACGTTTTCCTGAGATATATTAACAAATTATGAAGGAAAATATGCAACTAAAATTACAATAGTATCCTGCCATCCACAGAAAAATAAACTTTAGTGGCCTCCAGTCTTTCTGAAAACACCACTCAACTTGTGAACTCACAGCTTGCAGATAATTCACACTTACAAGGTTGTGAAAACCACACGAGGGGGGTGGTCATATGGACTCTAAACGCCATGTTTGAAGGCAGCAGGACACCATCAGAGCCACGAACACAAAACAAATAAATTAGAGATATCTTCTGTACAAAGAATACGTTAGAAAGACCAAATGTGTGCTGATGAAGATGTCAGACTGACATTGTGTAACAGACCGCTGTGACACAGACATTCAACATCATGAGGAGCCGGACACACCTTTTGTGTCAACACACATACTCCAGGTGTTTGTACAGGAAAAATTTCCCCACAACACTATGGAAAGTGTGTGTCCTTACACTTGTGTGCAATCCAGATAGTTTACCAGAAATTAAAAAACCCGTAAGCGCACTTTATGTTTGTGTGTGTTAACGGTGGATAATCTGTTAGTTTTAACTTGCATCAGCTGGAAGTTAATTTTTTAAAGCCTCACCAGCATTGAGTCATGAAACTGTCACATCAAATGAGACACTTTTACAGTAAAGTGTGTGTGTGTGTGCTGTAACGCTCCTCTGGGGCAACCAGCTGTGCAGCAACACACAAGTTTCTGCTGTTTTGTAACAGCACGTCACAGCCCAGCCCCCTCTGACTGTCTGAGCATGTCAGGGCCTCTCATATCTCCCAGCACTGTGTGATGGGATGTGTGCGAGTCACTTGTCACGTCCTACTGACACAGACCTTTCCATGACGTCACATGACACCACTGGGCCTCACCTATATGTTATAAGGAACTTCAGGAGAACAGTGTGTAAAGACAAGGGGAAGGAAGTGAAAGCCTGTCGACGGTCATCTTTAACCCACAGAGCGTCGAGTGTTTCTTTAATTCGTTTTCTGTTTTTACGACTTAAGATTTCAGTCAGCTGAGTCAGACCGACTGTCACAAGTCACAACATGAGATCAGGTGATCTCAAGTGGCAGCAGATGGTGTGCGTGAAATGGAGGAACTGTTTCTTTACTCATACATTCGTAAAAACTCCCCGTCATCTTCTGTCACAGTGTGACTGAAATGTTAAGTTCAGGAAGTATAAAAACCCCCAGAGGGAAAAGTGATGTTTGTTTACACCATTAGTGGATCCATATTTCCTCATTTATACTTAACCGTGTTTCTTTTATTCATAGTTTTACATCCTTCGAACATCAGAAATTATGACCAGTGTGTCACAACTTAAATGTAAACAGCCAAGAAAACCATTAAAGTTTTTTTTTATGTCTGTTTTCACCACATGTCAAACCTTATAAACCCTCTGACAGAATCCAGACTCCACCTGAAACTGTTTTAACCATCTGTGTGTATAAACGTCTCCACATACTGACAGTGTGTCCCTCTGTGTCTCTACAGCGAGGACTCCTGTGAGGACGTCATGAGCTCAGGCGAGGAGTCCCTCAGCAGCTCTCTGGGCAGCGATGCCGAGGGGCCCTTCTTCCCTCTGCACCTCCGCCGCCAAAAACACCGCCAGCACCTCCACGCCTGACGCCTCCAACCACCACCACGTGCCTCGCCGTCTCCGCCTCCCCCTCTCTCTCTCTAACTTCTTAACCTTGAAGTCTTTAATTTACTGTGTAGTAAGCTCCGGTGCTGGCGGAGAGTCACACAACTGGCAGCTGAGCGGTCCGGACTCTTCCTGGTAGACTGTAGTGTGTAGATGTGTCGGTGCATGTTGAGATGTCACATTCCAGGACGCCAGATTTTAACGTTAAACAAGCGACGTTAGGTTAACTCGGTGCAGCGTCTGGTTTTTAAGGTGCTGAGATAGAACGCGCCGATTTTAAAAATTCTCAGATGTCAAGTTAAACCAGAATCGGTTCATGTTCTCGACAAGATGATTTGCCAAAATGTGGTATTTATTTAATAGAATGTTTTTCTTTTTACTGTTATTAATCTAAGACTGCTTTTATTGAGAGGAAGGAGGAGTTTTATTTGATGTGCAGAAGCTGAGAGCGGCTCGTTCTCGAGGTGATCGAGACTTCTGAGACCTCAAGGTACAGAAAGAAGTCAGTCAGACCAGCTGACGTGATCGCCACTAAACCGTCTCTATTTTCTGGACTACAGGGTTGAAAGCTGAATTCAAGCTTTGACAGAAAACTGTTGCTCTCACTTCTGTAGCAAAGTTTCATTTGCACACTTTTCTTTTTGTGTTAAACGGGCAGACTGGACGTTTGAGTTTGTGTCTCGGGGAGGAGATGTGAATCCGCTCCATTTCGACCCTGCGGGGTGTCCAGATAAAAACATTTAACGAGTGTATGTCTGTGGATGTGTGTACGTATGACTCTGGTTTAAAACTTAAAGTTGATTGTTTCTAGGATGTAGCTTAAAATAAAAAAAAGTTGTTGGTGTTTTTTCCGCGAGGATGCTGTATGGAACAAAATAACGCTGACTGCGTGTCAACAAAAAGTTGAAAAAATTTCAAAAATGTAAAAAAATGTTAATACAAAAACCATGTAAAACTGTAAATGATGTACAAAAAAATCTGTTAATAGTTCTTTGTAGATATTAAGTTATTTATTATCATTTTGTCACCTGTACTGAAAAAAAGTCTAAAATCTTATAAAAAATGTTATTTTTAAATCTGTTGTCTGAGTGTTTCTTTCGTCACGTCTGAAACCAGCTGATTGGATTTATTTTATAAATCAAAGTGAAAGAGTTACTGAATGAACACATGATGCAGATAAATGAAGAGAACTGATGATGCTCTCTGAGGTCACGGAGACATACACAATTTAAGTCCTCAAGAAGATATTTGCTTCAGCATGACAGTATTAGGAGCATCATAAGGGGACACAAATCAAATATTAAAGAGGTAATATTTTGAAAAAGGATTGTAATATGAGAGTTGTAATTTTGGGGCTGGAAAAGCTGTGGGTTACATCATGTTTCTGAATTAATTATATTAGTTGACAGATGACAACTGTCAGTAAATTAAAATAATAATTGGAGATATATATATATTAACAAATATTTTAGATACCATCAATTTTGAACGGGGCTCTTTCACAGTATGGAATTTAATTTTAGTTATTTCCAGGTCTGGATAAGTATGGGGGAAAAGGAGAATATGGACAAACACTATTCTGTATTTTCTCAGTGTTGTACAATCAGACGTGGGTCCTTAAATATGAGGGAATTGGGCCTGGAAATTCCTTGATGAAAAGTCCTTGAATGATGTTTCAGAACCCTGTGTTAACTTCCTCTTTGGGCAGAGATGTTTGACAGTGGAACGTCATCCAACTTTCAGCGTAGGAGTGTGGACTGACATGCCACATTGGGTAAATGCAAATGTACTCAGATTTTTTTATGTATTTTTTTTATTTTATTTATTTTTTTTCCATTTTATTTTATTTATTTATTTCTTAAAATATTTTTGGGGGCTTTTGTCTTCATTCAACAGGACCGCTATAGCTTGAAAAATCTACCGAGAAATTCTACACTTTTCCAGACTGAATTTTGAAATGGAAACCTCATATAAAACAGTAATACGGTCCCACAGTGGCCCTGATATTATGGTGTACGTTGGCAAACTATGACACTTCAAAAATTTAAGTAACAACTTATTGAAGTTTTATTCTCAATGCCTCTTTTGTCTTTGAGAAAACTGACTGTAAAGCTTTAATGTGTATGAATGAGAACCCAAATCTTCTTTAAATGGTTTTATTCAAGTCTTTTTCGTCTTGTGTAGAAAAGCAGATGTATAAAAATAATTTATCACAGCGAGCGAGGTGTAACTGTCAGTAAAAAACAACTGAGTGAGGTCTGGTAAACAGAGCTGGGACAGAGAAATGCCAGATGACACTCAGACTTTCTGAATGAACATTAGAACACTGAACATTGGATTTCACTTTTAACAAAACACACACACACAGTCACACACACAGAGTCGTACACACGGTCACAATTATCACCAGATCCTAAATAGATGCTGATTTTAGCAAATGAAGTCCCAGGATGTAGAAAGTAAAACAAAATAATTAAGTACTTTGAAATAAAACTGTTTCTGTTCTCACACTGTACAGAACAGCATGAATGAGTCCTTCCATTTCCAACAAGTAAGAGCAACTTCTTTTTTCTAATCATACAACTCTTATCAACATCTAAAGTCACTACTTTTAACTTTAAATTGATTTAAACTCAAATTTCAAAGCTCCTCACTTCCTTTTCAGCTTTAAAGGATAACTTCGGTATTTTTCAACCTGGGCTCTATTTCCCCATGTGTATGTGTGCGTATGATTCATAGGTACAACTCGTTCTAAAATTGGTTCAGTATTGAGGGAGGCAGATGCAGCTGGCAGCCGCGAAACAAGCTAAAACGGTAACGGGGGCAAATGCGTCCCGTATAAGTTTGTGCATTAAAAGTGCTTTTTTTTCACCACTGACCGGTTCAGATCGTCAGTGTTATCTCTGTAAATAGCATACTAAGCGTTTCCCTTACCTCTGGGCTGTGTGACGTCATCTCGCGAGAGCTTTGCTCCACAGTGTCTGTAGCTCTCTCAACTCGTGGGACAGCTGTTTTCTTGAGGAAGAGGTGTTTCAGGATTGGATGTCTTCTCTTCTTTGGCTGGCAGTAGTCATCTTGGGAGAAGTGAGCACTGCAGACCCGATGGTCTGCCAGGCGCAGTGTCTGGACAGGAGTGTTAGCATCCATTTGTAGCACAACTAGCCACAACTTCAGCATCTCGCCGTCCGACAAAGGCAGCCTATGAAAGCTGTACGGGGTGTTGCGCGACATCCTGTTCTTGCAATTCGGATAAGCACAAACACGAACCATTGTTTCCAATCGATGCAGTAAAACTCTCAGCTGTACTCCAGGACAACCAGCGCCACTCGGAGCGGCGCTCTGCATGGCTCCTCTGTTTTCTTCCAGCAACAAGCAAAGCTCACACGAGATGATGTCACAGCCCAGAGCAAGTGAAGGGTAAGGGAAACGCTTAGTATGCTATTTACAGAGATAGCACTGGCGATCTGAACCGGTCAGTGGCGATAAAAAGCACTTTTAACGCGCAAACTTATACGGGACACATTTGCCCCCGTTACCGTTTTAGCTCATTTCGCGGCTGCCGGCTGCAGCCGCCTCCCTCAATACTGAACCAATTTTAGAACAAGTTGTACCTATGAATCACACACACATACACATGGGGAAATAGAGCCCAGGTTGGAAAATACCAAAGTTATCCTTTAATGTCAGCCAAATCTCAGTTATAAAGGTCTCAGACAGCTTGAAAAGCAGCAGCCTCCAGTCAAAGGACCATATTTTCCCATGTTTTTGTGTCTAAGTGACCAACGGGAGCAACAATTTTAGAAATAAGTCCAGTATTGTGAGAGAAACAGGCTGCAGTGTAATCACTTGACGCATGTTTGCACCGTCAGTTCACGTCCACGCAAGTGTTTGTTTTTGTCACTGACAGGCTCAGATTGTTATTCTAAGTGTCTGACAACATTATGAAAGGATGGGATGGTGCTGATGGGATGGCCGTTGCTAGGAGATGAAGAAAGCGACCAGAAGGAGCATCGTCACGGTGAGGAGAAGGCGATCCCTGGATGGGCTGCTTCCGCTGACGCTCTTCTCCAGCTTGGGAACAAAGGGGTTAAATTCATCAATATCGTCAATTTTTAGGCCTGGTCTAAGCGTGTAGTCTGGTTCTGTAGGCTCTGGCTCAACAAAACCCGAGTGCTGTTCCCGTTAGTCACTTAGACATAAAAACGTGGAAAAATAGTGTCCAGATTTTTAAATACTGAAGTTACTCTTTAACCCGTCTCCATGACAGACAGGAATAAACACCAAACCTGTAACAGAGTTAAACATCAGCTCAGTCAGTGTGAACACGTCATGGAAAGCAAATCCAGCAGCCTGGTGACAGCTTATTTGACATACCTTACATTATATCTCTCACTCTCACACACACACACACACACACACACACACACTCAATATCACCTCATCAAACAAAAGGCACATGCACAAAACAATAATAAAGTCTGCTTAGTCCAAACCAACCTGCAGTCAGTCTTCAGCCAGTTCGCAGACGTCAGTGCGATGGATCCTTCTCCAGCACTCAGTCCTCCATTAGATCCAATTTGTTCATTATTCGTACAATCCCAGTGAATAATACCATTATACATCCATTTAACAAATCCTGCAGCAGCTGACGACGCCCACAATGTGAAAAACAGTCCTTTAAATCTGACACCGGTCAGTCCAGTCTCTTGTTTGTCATTTCCCCGAGTAATATGAACACTTGTAGTATTCCAAACGATACAGACTGACACACCACTGAATCAAAATCCCATTCGCGACTTCTTCTTCTTGGGCTGCGATCCCTGTGATCCCTGTGTCAGCGCCCGTCGACCCTGTGAACCCTGCAGGAGGGACTGAGACTGGGAGAAACTCGTCCAGACGGAGGAGTCCTGGGACGGATCCATCCTGAGGCTCCTCTGAGAGACGGACTGGGAGCTGCGGAGCTGAGAGGAGGACAAGGACAGAGGTGGAGGTGGATGGTGCATGGCGCTGCCCTCTTCCAGGAAGTAACCGTCATGCTGCGAGGGCTCATCCTGGAGACAGACGGGGGAGAAACAGTTAGGGGCCTTTCGTCCTCGTAGTTTAAAGATTTCAGGTACGTACGAAGTACTTAGAATGCCCACCTCTACCTCCCGTTATTTGTGGTCCATGCCCACAAACAACAGGGTTTTAACAGGCCCATATTGCTGGGTTTATGTTGTGTGACATTTGGGGACATGACCTAACAGGAATTTAAGTGTACAGTCACGCTGGCGTCCCTGTGAGGCTGTAATGTTCACGAAAAAATAGAAAACTCAACTCTTCTGTTGTTGTGTTGCTGTGCCTTGATGAATCAGTAGTGAGTAACTTTTCCATCCTGCTGGCGTCATTTGAAGTGGATACAGAAGCCACGGTGACGCTTTCTAAGAGCAACTAACTTAATGTCTGTCACACTAATCCAAAACATACACTGATTAGAGTTCTTTGTGTCAGTCAACTCACAACAACTTGTACAGCTGCATCCAGCTGATCCACACTTCTCACCAGAACCACAAAAATGGTACCAAGCATATACAAGCTCAATACAGCTGTAGTGTGAATCAAATTACACAAATAGCAACTTTTAAATCAGCCTATATCTTTGATCATTATGAGGAATGTTAACTGTTACTTTCATAGAACTGTTTGTGACTGACTGTGGGTACTGATGTCGCTACTTTGAAAGGTTATCGACCGAATAACGTCGGTACTACAGAGTAGTGTTGCAGGGTATACTGGTACCAATCAGAACAATACACGGGGTGACGTATCCAGAGTTTAGCTACCAGCGGAGCTAACTGGTAGATTAGACTCTTGCTGTATCCGGTCGGCAAAACAGCAAAAACGTCCTTCTTGCAAAGGAAAGACTCGAGCGCCGTCTTCTGTTCGTCTTTTAGAGAAAAAGCCAAGTCTAACTCGTTCATTGTAGCGGCCAAAGCCGTTTCAAACAACTGGTGTTCATCCGTAGCCATCTTGCAATGTTTACTGACTGATTCCGGACTTTGTCGTCGCAGCGCTGTCGTCATCTGTTTAGCTCGCCTCTGGCCCGCCTATATCAGATACACCGATGTGATTGGTGCAGCTCGGCTCCAACGGCATGGGTAATGAGCATCATTACTGATTGCCAGAATGACTCGCTGAGCAAATTCACATTGTGCTCTTGTGAGAACTCTGGATTTCCAGGGTAACTAAAAATAGTTTTGTGAGAGCAAAATAAATCATTCAGCACGCTGTGCGAGTACAGATTTCAACCAGCGGCAGAAACGAAAGGCGAATCTTGCCGGTTGTGGGTTGAACGGGGGTCACAGACAGGAATACAGCAGAGCACTATGGCCACCGCAAGATAAGGCTTATCAGGGACGGAGAAGTCCAGCTCCAATAATGTCCTTTTAGTTGGTGTCGTGACTGCCCAAAAGTACCTGGACAGCTGAGCCGTGGCGGCACACAGGTATGTGGCCCGTCAGAGGAGAAACAAGCCGTTCACATTTCTCTCTTTATGGCAGGTAATGGTCCACAAACCTGACCGCACTTTAGGGACTGTTCTTTACTGATGAAGGGACTTGTCAGGGGAGGAGGGTGGCTGGTTGATTCTTATTTTATTTATTTATTTTATTTTGATCCCCCCTATGTTCATCACTGATTGATGCTGTTTTTGAGGTATGAATAAGTCAATAAGTAATTTATTCCATTGAAATATGATTGATGTATTATAGAAAAGTGATTTATCTTTTTATAAATGACAAAAGGCACATCTGCCTCATTTTCGCTGTGGTATCGTGATGCTACTCAGAACCGTGATACTTTCACTGGTATCGTACCGTGGGTCCCAATTTTGGTACCGTGACAACATTACTGCAGAGTACTGATTCAGGTTACTCTGACTTCATTTCACTTAAGCCATGTTTCCAGCTTAAGTGACGGTGTGTTAAATGTTGTGAATTAATAACAATGTTGAAAACTAGAAATCTAGACTTATTTTTTTATGACTGAAATTACGTTGCTGTTGTTACAGAGAAAGTAAAGTACCTTAAAATGGCAGGGTTGGGTAACAGTACCAAATTCCAGGTACTGGTATCAGTTCGATTTCAATTCAATTTTATTTATAAAGCCCAATATCACAACTCACAATCTACCCCAGAGGGTTTTAAATCATATGATGTCCCTCTGTCCTTTGGACCCTCACAGCAGATAAGGACAAACTCCCCAAAAAACGAACTTAAATGGGGGGAAATATGGTACAAACCTCAGGAAGAGCAACTGAGGAGGGATCCCTGTTCCAGGAGGGAAAGACCAATGTGAACGAGTTGCAGACTCAGATGACATGTTACTGGACACAACTCCTTCTTCTTACCTGTGGTGCAAACAGAGAGTGGAGGTAGTCCTCAGCTGGACGTCTGCTCCTCCTCTGACTGGCTGGTGTCGGATCAAGTCTTGGTGTCTGGGTCAGGGCGAGGGTGCGGAAGCTGCTGGGAGTCTGCTGGTCCCTTAGTTTGTCTTTAACAGGTGTGGGGGTCAGTCTGGGGACTGGAGTGTCAGTCTGCAGGGTGGAGGGTGTTGTGGCTCTTGGCGTCCCACTCTCCAAAAAGCCATCCACCTGAGACAGCTTACCTTCTGTGTCTGACCACGCCCCCTGGCTCACCGCAGAGGACCAGCCCGTCGAATCAGAGAAGTCGTTCAGCTCTGACTGGTAGCTGACGGACGAGGTGAAGCTCCCAGACAGTTCCAGGCGTCGACCGGAGGCTCTCTTCGCCTCCTTCTCCCTCCTCCTCTTCCTCCTCAGAGCCTCCACCTTCTCCTCCCTGTTGAGCCCCAGCTGGTCCTCCCACCATGCCCGCCACACCTCCTCCCCCTGCCAGGAGAGGGTGAGGCGGTGGCTGATCTGATCTGTCCAGGCGTCAGTATACACAATGTTTGGTACCATCACCACGTCCTGAGCACCGAGGGACGCAGAGGTGGCACTGTGAACCAGCAGCGAGCGCTTTGACATGCACGCCCTCAGATCACGCCTCAGGTTCTGCACACGCTCCTCCTCTGCCGAATCTCTCGCTCCATCGTCAGACAGGTGGAGGAGGTCTCCAGTTTCAACTGTGAGGTGCTGAAGGGAGCGTGGGCGGGGCTTCTTCTCACGACTCTTGTGCATCAATTTCTGGAGCCAGTGTTTCCACGTGACAAGAGCGCCGTCGCTGAGCTTCACTGGAGTCGGACTCTCAGAGGAACCCAAACTCCCGGAGCCGCTGACGGGTTCCTCAGGATCATCAGCCACCTTTCCATCTTCCACACCTGCGTCCACTTCACTCGCTTGATCCAGCTCTGGATCATCGTTGACGATCACCTTCAGGTGCTTCAGGTTTCGAGCTCTCCCTCTGGACTCTGAGTCCTCAGAGGAAGAGTCAGGGTAGGCGTCCTGCACTCGTTGTTCCCTCTCAGGTGTTTCAGCCACAAACCTCAGCGCAGTCGGAGCCTGAGTCGGCCCGATGACGCCCTCATCGCTCGACGTGTCCGATACAACCATCTGAGAATGCGGCTGAAGCTGTTTGGCGGTTTTTCTCCCTGAAGTCGTGGCTTCTCTCAGAGCTGGCTGTGGCAGCGGTGCGTCGTCTGCAGCGGGAGGTCGGGAGGTGTCCGGCTGTTCAGGCTCGAGGATCTGGTAGAAAATATCTCCCGCCTCAGTCAGCTGTAGAATACAGATACACTCCTCGCCACCTGCCTCTCTTCCTCCTCTCGTCTGGATACACGTCAGACCTGATGACCAAACAAAACTGTGTCACTCTGCAGTTACACCTCCAAAACACTAGTCGGCGACGGGGTTTCTGTGAAGTGCTATAAAGTTTGGTTGATTCAGAACACACATTAAACATGTCTTAATAGAAACAATTTCAAACACAAGTACACAAATCAGCTTCACTATAACTCGCAGCATTCACAGACAAACACTTGTCTTTATCTGGACTCATTTTCCCCACAAATACAACATGCTAATGCTACTACTATGCTCTAATTGAGGCCCCTGAGATTGGACACTTTCTCACACAGTTAAAGCTCTTATAAACACACACACACACACACACGGTGTCCATACCTGCAGCAGGTGAGGACAATCTGTTGGTTGCGGTGTCCAGGCGGTGCGGGATCTGGACAGGAAGGTGTTTCAGACTGTCTCTGGGTCTGTGCAGCGCCTGAGGAGGACCTCGACTGGAACAGGCCTCCACTCTGCCTCCTGAACACACACACACATTACAAAGGGACCAATACACTTAAACACATGTGAAATTTAACAGTAACATGTAGAAAAGTTACGGCGTGATGTTCTCGCACCGTGCCGCCCCTATCGACTGACCTGAGTACTGCAGCAGCGTGATTTCCTGAGAGCTCTGGGACCCCAGCAGGATATTTGTGGCCCTAGCCGAGCCAGAGGACGCAGAGCCACGAACAGTGTGACAAAACATGGGCGGCGACTGCATCATGTGATCCCACTTGATCATGGGCATGCAGGGGAAACGCTCATCCATAATGTACGTCGAGTACTGACAGAGAGACACAGAGTTCAAAACTCCTGAAGACTTGTTTTCCTCATACAGACACACCTGTGAGAACCCTGACACCTAGTGGTAAAGGGCAGGTACTGCAGCACCACATTGCAATGGAAATATTCTACTTGTGCAGAATTTAGACAAATTTCCCCAAAATCAGTCTGAGATATTTGGTGTTGTTGGAAACGTTAGCATCTCTACTAGAATTTGTAAAATGTTCTGCGGGTTTGAACAAACTCTGGACGAGCTATGTGTTATTGTGTGTAACACAACAATTAACTGTGTTAACACTGAGGTACCTGTGTGGTGATGAGGTGGTGGAAGGGGTGGACGTCTCCTAGATATCTGGACAGAATGAGTCTCTCCCCACTGCGACACTCCGGAGTGCTGCTGATACGAAACAGAGTGTGACTCGAGGCAGGACTCACCTGAAGGACAGAGGAGGGAGAGGACAAAGACATGATCATCAGAGGAAAAGGCAAGAGAGGAGAAAGGACAAGGAGTTCCACATTTAGTCTCATGTGATTACACCAAACACAATGCTAATTTTTGCTTCGCATTACTCATGCAAGTGTGAACGCTAGAACATTTTGTGCTGACTCGGTTCATACACGTGAATATCTTGCGTCACATGTGCATGAAGTTGCTGAGTTGATGAATGAACTTCAGCCGGTACCGCCTCTGCATCATTCGTCCCCGGAGGATCTCAATATTGATAGGCTATCACTGCCTGAATCGGTCACTCTCGCGAATAAGCGTAGGACGCAAAATCGCACTACTCCCTTAATTCGCGCCGCTAAATTCATGTCCACCACATCCATCATGCAGCCAGGTAGGAATTTGCTTCTAATCGCATCCTTACATTGACTTTAAATGTAATTCCCTTGCGTGAATAGTTTTCTTCACGCCCGGTGTGAACACAACGTATACAGATATTTTTGAAAATGGATATCTTTTCCATCACTCCAAAACCTTGAGAAAACACTGAGACAACCACCTCAGTCTATGGTCTCACCCTGATGTCTGTGAGCTCCACCCCCGTCCTGTCTGCATACAGCATCACCCTGGGATGGGCGGAGAACTCGCACCATCTCCACGACGACTTGGCGTTGAAGTACAGGTTGTCGTCTTCCTCTCGAACCTTCTGCATCCTGATGACACAGAACGTCACTTAACTTTCATCAGACTTGATACAGATAAAACTCGTAACTGTGAGAAGAATCAGTGAAACCGTTCTCACCCTCTGCCGACAGTCCACAGATTGGCAGCTCCGCTCTCACTCACCACCAGAACTTCACCTAAAACATGAGGACTGACACACAGCAGACATTTCTGTTACAGCTTCACCTCAGAACTTCCTGTCTCCAACCCTCAGGGCTGCGGCAGTGTCGACGCCTACTGATCGCTCACCTGACGCTGATGCAGGTCGCCACCTCTCTGGTGTTGACAACTTGCAGCAGACGAGGTTCGTCTCTTTCACTGAACCTCCAAACGCCACACAGGTGATCTGACCGCACTGCGACACAACCTGCAAACAACAGACCAACAAAAACTTTATTCAACGACTGAGATGAGACGTTGACGAGCTAAAAATAGATCTCTGAGAATAAAAACTGTGACGAAATGTTTGTCTTGTTTTCGCTGACGAGACGGAACTATTTCCTTTAAAGAGACAAAATGTTTTGAGTATAATGATTTTACTTAGACAAAAACTGGACTAAAACTAAGAATAAAAAACAACTAAAATGTGATTAAAACTAAACACTGATGCTAAATGTAAAATTGCTGTTAAAATTAACACTAAATAAATAATACTTTCTCGTCCTTACAGTCGTTGAGCAGAGAGACGGCGCTGATCTGTCTGACGGGGCCTTTCAGCTGAAAGCTGAACGGGTCACTGCTGCTGGCGTCCACACAGGAAGAACCTCCTCTGTGGTGCTGCAGCTCCACTCTGTGGAAGTCTGAGGTACTGCGTTAAGGACCAGAGACACAACACAGGAGAAACACACCACTCTGCTTCACATCTACCTCACAACTTATTGTTTTGTATCACAAAAGAAATGCATGTTAAAGGGACAGTTCACCCCCAGAAAGTAAAAAGAAGAAGAGGAGTACACTTGCAAGACAAATGTGACACTTTCTAATGTCACAATGGAGGGACAACTACGCAGGTTGATTTTTAGCGCTGCTCATTATGTGTAGTTTGGTAGAAAGAAAATAGTTCCTACATGAAACTGCTCACAGCAAGGTCTGTGGATTATGTTGAGTAATCAGGTCATGATTTCTGGAAAGAGACACTGATGTTGAGTTTTTCAAATGTATTTTTTTTTGGCGCTTTGAGTACCACAAGCTGAGAGAAGGTAGACATCTCTATGGTCTCTCAGGGCTTGACACTATCTTTTTTTCCAAGGAGCACATGTGCTCCTAAGTTGAAAAAGTAAGGAGCGCACAAAGAACTTTATGGGCACAATGTAAATTGATCAAATAATGTGTTTTCCGTAATAAACGTGATGCAAATAGACATTTACAAGCAAAATGATTTAATGAATTTGTATACAAAATGTACAGAAAGGTAAAATCATCAAGTTTTGAAAAAGTATTGCAATTTAATTTTGTCTTTAATGTTATTATCTTATATATATTATCTTTGCAATATGATTATCTTATATAATGTTATTACTATCCTAAAACATTCTCCAGGTCCTCTGAAACTCTGCAGGACTTATTTCCACCCTGCCCAGCAGCGGTACCGTGGCAAACGGTCCCTAACTGAGGGGAGAGGGGAGAGGGCTTCCCCGGAGGTCCACCGCTTAACCTGGTCCGTCTCCGCCACACTTTGACTTATTTCCACGCTGCCGACAGTAGGACTTATATTCATTGTGCCGACAGTGGCTTGGAAAACCGCCCATAACCGTGTCACACGGGGTAGAGGGAAGGCGGCTGGAGTTCCTCCAACATTTGCGGTTAGAGTATCATATTTTTTTATTGACAAAAATATAGGCTGCTTCGGCTGATTTTTTTTATGCGCACATGTGCCCCTAAATATTTTTTACAGTTCGCACACACCTGTTTTTAGTTGCAGATGCAAGTGAAACGCTCGCACTGTCGAGCACTGTCTCTGTATTCCTGATTTTGGGGTGAACTGTCCCTTTAAACAACCTACCGGTTTTAAATATCTGTCATTATTCGATGTGGTGTGCAGGATACTGAGGCAGTCCAGTCCCTGGTTTCTGGGGTAGAGGAGGCAGCCGCGCTGAGAGTCGCTGCCGCTCTGTGAGAAGGGCACAAAGGCCAAAGCGCCCCCTGTGGCTCCTTCAGAGAACAGCATGCGGTCTCTCTGCTCCGTCAGCTCCTCGTACAGCAGAGGACCCAGCAGCTCAGGAGGAACGGAGGGCACCACGTCCGACAGCAGGGCGCTGTACTTGTCCAGCGTCCCGCAGGAATACGGCTGCGGACATCTGGACAAAAGATGCGACATGCCGAAATAAAAACACCAATCAGTCACGCCAGGAGATTATTCACTGATTGGTCAGGTCCACTCACACTTTAAACTTCAGCGTGTCGAGGAATTTTTTCATCTTCCACATGTGGATTGAATCCTTGCGATATTTCTGCGTCACGAAAATTCAAAAACACCATAAAGCTGCCAAACTGATGTCGGCAGATTGTTTATTTCATCTGACAAGTATTCAAACATTCATAAACAGTCTTTTCACAGAGACTCTGTTCTTGTATCTCACCTCTCTCCTTCCGTCTTTGAAGTTGAAGTTGCTGCTCAGGATTTCACCCATGCACCCGAAGGCGTCCTGGGAGTGGTCCATGAAGAAGTTCTGCATCTAAATACAAATCATGTTTATGGACTTCACAAGTTGAGAATAGATATGGTTAAAGCTTGACTGGGCCATTTAACTGGCCTACTGTCCTTGTCCCAGTATACAAGCACAGGAGGGGAATCCATTTAACGACCGAAGTATGTCTGACTCCTCTACGATAGGTGGAGATATGCCCCCTTTCAGCTTGTTAGTATTGGACCTTTTTCCTGTTGACCTATTACATCACAGACCAAACAACGGACAAACAAGTTAGCTACGGTTAGCTAGCTGCTAACTGGTACCATGGTGGACAACTTTACAGCTCTGTACATTTGGTCCGTCCAAAAAGTCATGGCCCTGGATGTAGATTTCTCCATGTTATTACTGGCTTCTTCTTCTCTTACAAATTTAATGCTATTGGACTTCAGGGTCAAAGCCCGGGGCGGAAACTGTGGAGCATGCTCAGAGCGCCTCGGCTAGTTTGGGTCTGATTGACTGTATACATGCAGAAGTCACATGATCTGGGTGTGTTAGTCCAACTTTGAGAAATTTGATTTAGTGCAATTTTAGTCCAATATGTTTACACGTATTTTAAAAGTTTGGTTTTAGTCAGACTAACACAATAAATTGATTTTTTCTAAAGTCATGTAACTGTCCTGACTGTTACCATGGATAAATACTGAGACACAATGATGGATAAGTTTGACCACAAAACGGTGGACTATGTAAGTATGTGATGGTCATTTGTGATTACTGTGCTGATTAATTTGGCTTGTTAAGTGCCGGGGTAGAAATGAACTGTCACACTCACATGTTCTGTGAAGTCCAGTGGATCTGGAGGCGTCGACGGCCAGAGGAAAGCTGGAAAACATGTTTACAAAAATATGTGAAACAAATGCAATCACTAACTGTCACATAATACAGAAAACAAATGGAAAGGTGTATACAGTTTTCATATGTTTGTATGAAATTTTAACAGGCTGAATTTTCACTATTCTCCGAGAGTATTTAATAAATATAGAAAAAGAAAACAGCAACAGATGTGTGTGTTATCTCACTGATTCATTAGTCATTTATCTTTACTTAGAGTACAACACATCAGGTGTTTAGTCTCAGCACTGCAAACCGGACCCAGAGGGTGAACAGGGATGGCTGTCTGAGCTGTGAATGACCTGCAGAGAGGTAAAACCAGCTGTCAGGGACTCACAGTTTTTCGGGGACAGGAGAGGAAGTGGTACCGGCTCAGTGTGACGCCACGTCTCCCCTCTGGCCTGATGTCTGGATGTGAATGTCCAGCTGGAGAGAGGACCAGAGCTGCCCTGAAACCACAAATACAATCAATGTTAGACCTTATAAAAATGACAGGTTGTGTATTGAGAAGTTGAGTTGAGTATTATTTTACTTATGTTATCATGCATGACATTATAATTATTTGTTTCTTTTATTGACAGAACTGGGCGTCCAGAAGTTTCAAGTGGTTTTACTTGATTCTTTTCTATTCTCTATTATTTGAGTCCTGAGTGAAAATAAAATTAACTAGGGATGCATGATAACATCGACATGTCATCCCTTGCAGCCAATATTAGCTTTAAAATGAAGCATCAGAACTGGCACAATGACTACACATTTAAAAGTATATCATATCTCCAGACTCCATCTGCTGGTGGGCCGTCACAAAAAGATTCCACGTGTATAATATGGTGTCCAGGTAAGTTGTTTTATATTAGCATATCTGATATCAGCAAAGAATCCAATATCGTGCATCCCTAAAATTAATAATAACTCATTATTCAATATAAGGAACTGTACTTCATATATCACACAAAGGAGCTGACTTTAGAATTATTATTTTTTTGCACATCATGACCCTTTCAGAAGCTATGGATAATTTACCTTGAGCCTCCCTGAGTGAATCACTATAATAGAAAATAAAAAATAAAAGTTGAAAATAAAATCCTGGGGTTGAAAAAGTCTCGGTTTTTCACTTCTGTCTTGCATGCAGGTGTGCAGAATTATGTTTATTGATAAATTTATACAGGCTTTGGTGCAAGCGGTTTATTTTGTGCCAAATTTTAATCTTAAAATCTGACAGTATTTTTTTTAGGTTTATATAACACTTTCTGGCTATGATAAATAGTTTTCTGTCAGCGTTTTTTAATGACAACATGCCTTACAAACCTGCCAGCAGGAGTGGGGAAAAAGTAGATAAATCAATATCATTATCAGTTATAGACCAAACAAGTTGTTCTATATTGGAAAAAAAAATCCCATATCGTGCATCCCTAAATTTAACATTAGCTTATCATTTAATATAAGGATGTATATTTCATTTATCAGAGAAAAGGTGACCTACGAATTTTAATCATGACCCACCTGAAGCTACAAATATTTTATCTCGAGTCTCCCTGAGTGACTGGTGGAAAATACGTGACCCGTCCTCCACCATGAATAACCATATATTTTAAGAAAAATTAAAAGTTTGAAATAAAATCCTGGGGTTAAAAAAAGCCTTGGTTTGTCACCTCTGTCATGCATGCAGCAGCGCAGAATTTATTCTTATTTATTTATTTATTTATTTATTTTTCAGGCTTTGTCGCAAGTGGTTTATTTCTTGCAAAATTTTAAATAATATGTAAAACGTAGTGATTTTGATAACAAATGCCATGGTCACACAAGGGTCATTGGAAAATTTAAAATCAGACTTTTTTTTTAGGGTTATATTCAATCAAATCAAAATTATTTATAAAGCAAATTTAAAAACAACCACAGTTGACCAAAGTGCTGTACAAAATAAAAGAATGACACAAATATAAAACAGAATAAAAGCGGTACAGACAAGTACAATCATGAAGAGATTAGAAAACTGTATAATATTAAAGTATCTAGCTGTAATAAATGGTCTTAATTTGACAAATTTCAGCATAAAATGCCTTCAAAAACGCCAGCAGGTTTCTTAAAAATAAAAACAGTCCCTCCAAAGAGGTTAAAATAATTGTTTGAAATTGGATTTGTGGTTAATAACTGCACATTAAGTTTAGGTTTTAACAGCAAGCACCATAAATAAATAACTGCACTTTGATTTTGAGACAGTTTATACATAAGTACAGTCATAACTGAACCTGGCTTGACTCATCCATGCACTGACATGAGTGTGTGTCGCTGAGTTGACAGCTGACCCACCTGAGGTCTGACTCGGTCGTAGCAGCCCCAGCTCCCGGCGCTGTGCTTCAGGACCGAGTCCGGAGGTCCGCAGTTATAAAACGAGGGAAACAGCTGCTGTGGGAACTGATAATCCATCTTATGTGTCGTTAATGATTATTAAACAACTGTCCGGGTGTCTACTGATGTGTGTGCTGCTGTTCCTGCGCCCTCTCAGTGTGTCTGGGAACAAGTCTGAACATGTTGTTCCTCGGCTCAGCTAACGTTAGCTCCCCGGCCCCCGCTGTTAGCTAGCACCCATAAACACCTTTCTCCTCTTCCGGTCATCATGACACGCGCTCTGCACCTCGGACTACACCTGTTACACCTTGAAGCAAACAGGGAAGCCAAAAAGACACTAAACGGTGGTAAAATTGTCCCAAATCCTCAGTGTGTGGTTAAACACGTGCAGAGTCGCGACCGGAAAACGACAGTCAAGTTCCGCGGGTGAGGAGCTAGCAACAACAACAATAAGACTTCCGGTTGGTCTGCTACTGAAAGTGGCAAGAAGATGAATGACAAGCGTCTGTCTTAGCAAAACAACAAAATGACAAGATAAAATATAGGATGACACGAAAGTAAAACATGTAAAGAACAAACAAAAAAAAGAATAGGGAAGTATATCAGTAATATCGTCTTTCAAACATAGTAATTCGGGCTTTTATTTTGAAGGGAGAAAGGGAAACCGGATGTCTAGTGTGGAAAGCAACGAAGTCGTTTAACAGGGGCGTTTCTAGGATTTGGCCTCTGGGGGGATCGCTGCTCCTTAGGCACCCAGATAAATAAAATAAAATAAAATAAAATAAAATAAAATAAAATAAAATAAAATAAAAATAAATAAAGTAAAATAAAATAAAATAAAATAGAATAGAATAGATATAAAATAAATAATTAAAAAATAAAATGAAATAAAAAGATAAAAAAGTAATAAAATAAAATAAATAAAGTAAAATAAAATAAAATTAAATAACATAAAATAAAATTTAAAAAAAATTAAAAACGATGAAATGAAATAAAAAAATAAAAAGTAATAAAACAAAATATATAAATAGAATAAAATAAATAAAATAGAATAACACAACATGAAATAAAATAGAGTAGAATAGAGTGAAATAAAATGAAATAAAAAATTGATAAAATAAAATAAATAGAGTAAAATAAAAAAGAATAAAATAACATCACATAAAATAAAATAAAATAAAAAAGATAAAATGAAATAAAAATAAAAAGTAATAAAACAAACTAAATAAAGTTAAATAAAATAAAATAGAATAACATAACATAAAATCAAATTTAAAAAGGAAAATAAAAAAAAGATAAAATAAAATGAAATTAAAAAATAAAAAAAGGATTCAAATAAAGTAAAATAAAATAGATTATAGTCAAGTTTGATGAAGATGCAGAAAAAAACTAAATAAAACAGACTAAGGGGAGATATGTATATAAATTAATAAGAATGATAAAAAATGAGTTGATAAATTAAAACACCAGGCATACAAAAACATCTGAGATCCAACTCAAGGACCATACTTCAAAACAACAAGAACTGAGAAAAGTCAACACTTAATATTCTTACAGTCGTGTTACAGACGAAACAAACAGCTTAAAGGATAAGCCCTGATGAAGGCCGTGATTTTAATGTTCATCTTGAACTAGCCATTTAATAAAGGCCTTTTAACTTTTGCAACAGAGAAGAGTTGCCTTGGATTTTGTTTTTTCAAGATGTACTGCACTTCCTGACCAAAGAGCACCTTCCTGGATACCATGATACTGCAACCCACATGAGCGCTTCATCTGCTGCTGTCTTCAAGCTTAAAGGATAACTTCGGCATTTTTCAACCTGGACCCTATTTCTCCCTGTAAATTGGTCTAAGAGACTGATGTGAACAACAGTTTTTAAAAACTGGTCCAGTCCAGTAAAGGCATCCTTTAACGTCTGCATGATATGTTGCTGTTATAGTTTAATGGTGCCCGGCAGCATCAGGGAGAAACATGATGGGACAGGGACGAAAGTTAAGACAGCGAAAGTCCGACTTGCAGGTGAGAGGTGTCCAACAAACACCTCCTTTCATCCGAGAGAGCGGTGTTCACGTCCTGTAAGATTATAAAGCCAAACCCTGTCGTTGCTTCCTAAACTTTACAACATGTTTTTTGTTGCCTAAACCCAACCACATGTGTTTGTTGTTGAAGAAAAAAAAACAGGGGTGTTGAACCGACGCAGTGCGTTTATGTGGACAGAGACTGGTTGTAAATACTAAATTTCCTGTGAGAACAGAAGTGTATTTTGAAAGAAGTGTCTTCCTTATGTCAGTGTGTATGTGTGGGGCGCAAAGTATGCTAATGTATTTGAAGACGAGGTGGGCATAAGTAGAACCAGACACTGTCTTTCTGGTGATTGGCTTGTCTCAGGTCACAGCCAGTGTATTTAGAGCTGAGGAGGCATTGGCTTGAGGCAGAGGAAAGGTGCATCTCCTGCATCTCTGCACACAGATTGACTGTAGCCTTCGCCATACTGATATTTCTGTTCTTCTGAAGGTGGTTGGGCTGCCTGTTCTGTTAAGATGGTTTCCTCCTGTGTGGCTAAGTCAGGGAGGTTTGTCATTGTATTGTGGTTTAATTTCTTCAGGTTAGATTGGCTGTGATTTTAAAAATAACTTTTTGTCATATTTGCTGAAACTGTCACTATCCATGGTCGTACATGAGACTGATAATCTGTGGAAAGAATCACGTCCCTCTGCCTTCTGGCATTTGCAGGAATCCACCAGCTCGGCAAACTGCATTGCCTTTTTCTCACCTCAAATGTTTTCAGAAACATATTTTAGTGCACTGCTTTGCCACCGGGTCACAAACTGTCATAACTCTTTGTAACCATGGAGAAAAATAAAAGTTACTCTGTTTTATACGCTTCATATGTATTTTCATTGCTTTTATTTGGTCTATATATGCTGCTATTGTTTACCAGATTTTTTTTTAGCTTTTTGTCATTAAAATCAATCAATTAATCAATTAATAGAAATAAAACGTATTCCCATGCTTTCTCTCTTTGTTGGACATTTTCTGGCTTGCCTCTCATAATCTGGTTAGGACATTGGCTTTTTCCACAGTCCCTGAAATTGCACGATACAGGCAATCAAGTCACATCAAAGCATTACGTTTGACCACAGTTATCAACAGCTATTAAAAAAAATAGAAACAGTTTAAAGTAATGTTGTAATGACAGACGATGAGAAACACAAACAAGCTAAATTATTTACCAACTGTGTGGCCTGAAAATCCATCAAGCAAGACATTTGTTCAGTAAACTTTCAAAATAAAAGCAGATTCAGCTGTATCTCACAGTGTTCCTCAGTGGATCGAAGTCATAAAAAAAATAAGAATAAAAATGAAAAATAAAGATTAAAATAAGAATGTAATAATAATAATAATAATGGCAATAATAATGGTAATAATAATAATAATAATAATAATAATGATAAATAATAATGATTATCATTATTGCCTTTTAAATTGAGTTTTATGTTTTGATGACCTTTCGCATCCAAAAATCAAAAATAGGTGCAGTATGGAGATAGCTTTGTCTCAATATTATTTGTGTGAGGAGATCAACAATCCGTGTGCAAATGTGTAATCTGTAAATATAAAACAACTTCCACAAATACAGAAAAGTTTTGTAAATGCACAAAACTATTTTGCAAATGAAACAGATATGCAAATACACAAACAAATTAAAATCAAAACAAAAAAACAACAAACAAACAAACAGACTATGCATAAATGCAAATCTGTAAGCATAAATTGGAGATTCATAAATAAAAACTGGATTCACAAATATCTGTTGGGAAGGGTTAGGAAGATATTCAAAAATGCTTTTGATTTATTATTAATAATTAAATGTATTCACAGATTTTTTTGGCATTTGTGAAATATATTTTTGTATTTGCAGGTCTGTTTTAGTTTCTTATTTTTAGTTTTTTTTGTGTGTGTTTGTGGGAGGTGTTTTACACACAATCAAATTGTTCACACAAATAATATTGAGACAAGTCTGTCTCCATAATGTAGAAATGAGGGAATTAAAAAAAAATATTTGTGGTTATTTTGTCAGTATAATTACTATAAAAACATCCATACTCCTACAAAGAACGAGGAATATTTAGTGTGCTCTTTCTAGAAAAAGGAATACTGCATGATTTTATTTTGAAGTCCTGAAACCGGAAGCGGCTCTCAGCTATCAGGTGATCAGCTAGCCGAACAGATCGGTTTGTCGGTGAGACAAGAAGCTACAAACAAGCCGAAATTGAGGATAATTTCTGTTTTTATCCGCCACGGAGGGAACCGTCCGTCGACAAGCCTTCTTTCAGAGGGAAATGTTCCAGTAGGACCGCTTGTGGTTCGTATTTACAGTTTTAATTTCAGTTTTCATCGCAGTGTTTTGGTTCCGTTAGCCGTTACGCTAACCCGGAAGTCGCGACATTGCAGGTATAATTTAGCGTTAGCGTCACACATATCACAGTTAATGTGTCCTCTAACGTCTGATAATGAGACATAGGTAGCTTTTAGGTAAAATGTCGGCAGGGCTATCTGCTGCAGGATGTCTCCCAGGTGTCAGTGACTGTTGTGCAGCTGAATTAAATGGACGCCCCTTTAAACGTTGCTGTGCAGCCTGCACACCTGCACATAACGCCAAGGTTAATCATCCAGATGTAGCGTGAAATCACACAAACTGATGATGTTTCGATGGCAGAGTGTTTACTGTGTGGTATTTATTTTTGTTAAAGGGTCACTGCTGTTTTCTGTCGCTGTCTTCGTGACAGAGCAGTGACTCGTGACTCACTGACGGTGTAACGTTATTCATTCAGTCTGAAGGTACGACACGACCAATGCGGTAATATAGCGGTTTGACAAGACCTGTAGGTTGTAGTAATGTTAATGTCAGCATGCTGCTATATTATTCTTAACACGTAATAACGGGTCAACATGCTAAACGTTAGTGTATTAGCATGCTAGCGTGGCATGCTATGTGTTTAGCATCTTTAGCATGCTTCATTTCTCTCAGTGGTACACACAGTTCCTACAGAGACACAGCTGTGAACATCAAAGCTCCCATTATAGGTTATTTCCCCCCTTAAATAAATGATATAAGCTGCATTTTGTGTTCACTCAGATTTGTTTGAAGATCTGATCCAATGAATTGTGACAAATATGCAATAATATAATGTCTTCATACAGTATATGCAGTGTGCAGGATTATATATGACCAAGATGATGCCAACATGTTAAAGCACACTGTGTATTTTAAACTGTAAATATATCATTTATGATTTTCAGGTGCAGTGGACGTGTTAGTGTTGAAAGATTACCAGAACTATACGGCTGATATTAACTGTTCATCATAGTGACGCAGGCTGTCCCTCCTAGCTCAATAAGATTTTTCTAATACAAAATACATTTTCGAGAGTGATTCATTGTGCTGAAAGATGTGACTCATCTCTAATTAGAAGTTTAATTGCAAGCAGACAACAATCACAAAAACAACAGTATATTTATATACTTGCAGATACAAAGAATATTGTGTGACTTCAGACCTTCTTTCCTCATTATCCTCTTTTTAAATAGTGTGTATCCTATGAAGTTTCTTTAATATTTTACACTGACAGTATAATCATCATCTCTCTGTGTACCCGCTACTGTATATTACAGTTTAAGGTTGTGCACAGAGCCTACTGGTCTGAAGTGTTCAAGTGATGAGGCTTCGCTTATTCACATGTACTGGATGTGTCCAAGCCTTGAAAAATACTGGAAGGATGTTTTCCAATCCTTATCCTCTATCCTGAACTTTAATCTTCAACCCAACCCCCTGGTCGCCCTCTTTGGCACCACCAGAGAACATGATGTACACCTGACTCCGAGACAATGCTGCAAACTGTCTTTTGCCTCTCTGCTGGTCAGACGGGCAGCTCTAATCAGATGGAGGGATGCTGCCCTGCCCACCCATGCCCAATGGCTGACGGACATTATGTCCTGCCTTAATCTTGGAAAGATTTGCTACTAAATTAGTAACTCAAATAAAAAATTCCAAAAGGTTTGGGGCCACTTTCTAAAGTACTGTCAGAGCTGCCAGTTAAACTGAGGATTTAATGTTTGTTTCCACTTGGTGCTTTACGTCAGTGTACACTCTGATGAAGTACCCCATCATTCTGACCCTGCCTTATACATAAGCATCTCCCCCTCTCTTTTAATATTGAGCCTGACTTTCACTTCATCTGTCATTTTTTGTAGCACTATTGAGGGTATGGTGGACCGTTCTACTGACGATATTGCAGCTGTTATTCGGGGTTAGGCTATGGGGAGGATTGTGCTTTGATTTCAAGCTTTGTTCCCCATCATACATATGTCTTAAGGTTAATATCCGCTGTGAACATACTTTGTCTAATCCTGTTAAAACTGAATGAAAATATTCTTGATAAGTACATAATTTTTAAGTTGGTTAGGAGACCAGGCATCCTTTAGGGGGTCTATTAAATTGTCAACACCAAAAAATGTGGCCGTGACTGTTGTACGTATGGAATCCAGTTTGACCATAGCTCCATAAATCTGTTCATTTGTAGGCGAAGTAGCTTTATCAGTTTTTAATGTGAGCATGTACCAGACTTGTGTATTCATGTATAAGTATGTACGCCTTACCCGGGGATACTCAACTTGCTTTGCCCGGGGGGCACTTTTGCAAAATGACAGGTGGCCAGGGCCAGTTGCAGCAGTCCCAAGCAGATATGTACGCAATGGCGTTATAAGGATTTGAGAACATTTGGGGCTTAGCCTGGACCTTTGTTGGGTTGTCCAGGCTCTGTTTTGATGCTTTTAATGCACTCTGGCATCTCATTTACATTAAAAGCACCAAAAAATTCCCAGTGTAAATCAATTTATTTTCATTGTGAATTTGAAAATGGTTTGGGGGCATCCTGGCACTGTACATGGGCCAGATTTGTTTGATCTAAGTTGGGTATCACTGACCTAACTCATGACTTGCCTAGCACTTTCCAGAGGTTTTCCAATTTGTATCACACTCATAAACACTTTAAGGATTTTTATCTTATGTATTGTCAGACTTCCCTTAATCAGTACTGTCTGAAACCCAGAGGACTCATCGATCGATTGATTGATCGATCGATCGATCTCTCTCTGTCTGTCAGTCTCATTTTGTCCCTGTCTCTCCTCTCCAGACACATCAGCATAATGTCGGGGAACAACTTGGTTCTACCCATAGTGCTGTGGGGCCGCACGGCTCCCACCCACTGCATCAGCAGTCTGCTGGTGATGGACGACTTCAGCACCATCATCACCGGCTGCCATGACGGTCAGATCTGTCTCTGGGACATGACACCTGAGCTGGAGGTACTGATGATGATGATGATGATGATGATGACGATGATGTTTGTGATTATTTGTCACCCACCACTTTCTTTGTTTCTTATAATCTTGTTAACTCCTGTTCGTCTTTTGTTTACTGCTCAGATTTGTCCCAGGGCCATGTTGTTTGGTCACACAGCCTCCATCACCTGTCTGTCTAAAGCCAGTGCATGCAGTGACAAACAGTACATCGTCAGCGCTTCAGAGAGCGGGTGAGTATGTTTTTATCACACACACATCTGTCAGGAATTATGGCTGTTTTCTGAACCGAACTAGACTACTGCTGGTTTAAGAATAGTCACATAAAGGATACTGACTTGTGATTTAAGTACAGATGTAATGATCAAATACACTCACTGGCCACTTTATTAGGTACACCTTACTAGTACCAGGTTGGACCCCCTTTTTAATTCTTGGTGTCATAGACTCAACAAGGTGCTGGAAACATTCCTCAGAGGTTTTGGTCCTTATTGACATGATGACATCACACAGTTGCTGCAGATTTGTCAGCTGCGCAGGTCGCCTTCCATCTCATTATTTAAATGCAGTCGCATGCGATTGGTATGAAGTAGTACACTGACCGATCACAGCAGACTGGGCTTTTTTGGGAGTGGGTGTTAAAGAGACAGGCGCTAAAACAGAGTGTTTCAGACAGAGGGTGAAAGGAAAATAAAGTGTTTGAGCATTAAAGCATCTAAAACATGTTCTAAAACAAACCCAAAATATAAGTATGAACATGAAAATGAGGTCCCCTTGTACTGCAGATAATTTCCTACTCATTTACAATTAACTAACTTCAGTTTATTCGTGTTTCCAGAGAGATGTGTTTATGGGATGTGAACGATGGACGCTGTATCGAGTTCACCAAGCTGGCCTGTGCTCACACTGGCATACAGGTAAGACATAGTAACACATATTAAACCTCAAAGCTGGTATTCAGATACACATACAGTACAGGCCAAAAGTTTGGACACACCTTCTCATTCAATGCGTTTTCTTTATTTTCATGACTATTTACATTGTAGATTCTCACTGAAGGCATCAAAACTATGAATGAACACATGTGGAGTTATGTACTTAACAAAAAAAGGTGAAATAACTGAAAACATGTTTTATATTCTAGTTTCGTCAAAATACCCACCCTTTGCTCTGATTACTGCTTTGCACGCTCTTGGCATTCTCTCAATGAGCTTCAAGAGGTAGTCACCTGAAATGGTTTTCCAACAGTCTTGAAGGAGTTCCCAGAGGTGTTTAGCACTTGTTGGCCCCTTTGCCTTCACTCTGCGGTCCAGCTCACCCCAAACCATCTGGATTGGGTTCAGGTCCGGTGACTGTGGAGGCCAGGTCATCTGCCGCAGCACTCCATCACTCTCCTTCTTGGTCAAATAGCCCTTACACAGCCTGGAGGTGTGTTTGGGGTCATTGTCCTGTTGAAAAATAAATGATCGTCCAACTAAACGCAAACCGGATGGGATGGCATGTCGCTGCAGGATGCTGTGGTAGCCATGCTGGTTCAGTGTGCCTTCAATTTTGAATAAATCCCCAACAGTGTCACCAGCAAAACACCCCCACACCATCACACCTCCTCCTCCATGCTTCACAGTGGGAACCAGGCATGTGGAATCCATCCGTTCACCTTTTCTGCGTCTCACAAAGACACGGCGGTTGGAACCAAAGATCTCAAATTTGGACTCATCAGACCAAAGCACAGATTTCCACTGGTCTAATGTCCATTCCTTGTGTTTCTTGGCCCAAACAAATCTCTTCTGCTTGTTGCCTCTCCTTAGCAGTGGTTTCCTAGCAGCTATTTGACCATGAAGGCCTGATTGGCGCAGTCTCCTCTTAACAGTTGTTCTAGAGATGGGTCTGCTGCTAGAACTCTGTGTGGCATTCATCTGGTCTCTGATCTGAGCTGCTGTTAACTTGCGATTTCTGAGGCTGGTGACTCGGATGAACTTATCCTCAGAAGCAGAGGTGACTCTTGGTCTTCCTTTCCTGGGTCGGTCCTCATGTGTGCCAGTTTCGTTGTAGCGCTTGATGGTTTTTGCGACTCCACTTGGGGACACATTTAAAGTTTTTGCAATTTTCCGGACTGACTGACCTTCATTTCTTAAAGTAATGATGGCCACTCGTTTTTCTTTAGTTAGCTGATTGGTTCTTGCCATAATATGAATTTTAACAGTTGTCCAATAGGGCTGTCGGCTGTGTATTAACCTGACTTCTGCACAACACAACTGATGGTCCCAACCCCATTGATAAAGCAAGAAATTCCACTAATTAACCCTGATAAGGCACACCTGTGAAGTGGAAACCATTTCAGGTGACTACCTCTTGAAGCTCATGGAGAGAATGCCAAGAGTGTGCAAAGCAGTAATCAGAGCAAAGGGTGGCTATTTTGAAGAAACTAGAATATAAAACATGTTTTCAGTTATTTCACCTTTTTTTGTTAAGTACATAACTCCACATGTGTTCATTCATAGTTTTGATGCCTTCAGTGAGAATCTACAATGTAAATAGTCATGAAAATAAAGAAAACGCATTGAATGAGAAGGTGTGTCCAAACTTTTGGCCTATACTGTACCTTGGCTTTGTCTTTCATAAGCACAAACAAAGGTCAGTCTCAAATGGTGCCCAAGTACTGTAATATGACATGGTATATTCATCATGATTTATATTTTTACAGAACTAATTCCACCAGTTTAAGAAAGCCACGTCATACTGTCAATATAAATCAACATACCTGCAAATTTTTCAGATTAAAAGTATGGCAGGAAATTGAGTGGTTTTTGCCCTTTGAGAGGCTGGAAGGCTTAAATATGTTGTCTTTCCATTTCCTCTGTGGTTCTCCAGTTCTACCAGTTCACCATCGGCACTGAGAGGGAGGGGCGTCTGCTTTGCAACGGCCACTACCCAGAAATCCTTGTGGTGGACGCCACCAGCCTGGAGGTCCTGTACTCGCTGGTGTCCAAGATCTCTCCTGACTGGATCAGCTCCATGAGCATCATCCGATCCCACCGGACACAAGGTGAGAGACACAGGAGGAGCTGGAAAAGACTTTGGTGATTATAATCCAGCACGGAGCACATGTCTCTGATTTTTCACCTCCTGCCCCATTTACCAGTGTTTCCACCTCTAGCTCTACCTTCAGATGCAAATTGAGCCCACTTTTGGATGTAACATGAGGCACTAACTTTGACTCGGTGGCTCTCTATCTGTCTGTCTGTGTGTCTGTGTGTGTAGAGGACACGGTGGTGGCAGTGTCAGTGACAGGGATTTTAAAGGTCTGGATCATCACAGCTGAGGTCAGCAAGATGCAGGTACACCGCCTAACGGGTGTTTGTTCATCAAAGAAATACATCAGTCTTGTGTGTCAGCGCAGGCTCTAATTTATTGTGTGTGTGTGTGTGTGTGTGTTCAGGACCTGGACCCTGTCTTTGAGGAAGAGTCCAAACCCATCTACTGTCAGGGCTGTCAGAGTATTTCCTTCTGTACCTTCACTCAGAGCAGCCTGCTGGTCGTCTGCTCCAAGTACTGGAGGGTAAGAACCTGCATTACTAACAACCAGGGACAAAAGCACTGCATGGACGTGAAACTTTGACCCTAGTCTGACCCTGCCCGAGCTGTACTACATAAATAAATATCTCTTTCTGGTGTATGTCAGGTGTTTGACGCAGGCGACTACTCGTTGCTCTGCTCGGTGCCCAGTGACAACGACCAGGCCTGGACCGGAGGAGAGTTCATCGCCGCAGATAAAGTCATCATCTGGACCGAAGATGGCTGCAGTTACATCTACAAGCTGCCCGCCAGGTAAACCTGCTGCTGCTCTGGCTCCCACTTCACTGACAGGGTTCCCACAGGAATTTGAGAACAAAAAATAGATAAGTTAAGGCCTTGGATGTTTTTTAAAACAGACAAAAATAGAGATTAGTCATTGAAAGTACCTGAATTTATGCATTTTGTGCAAGAATAGGACAGTTCTTTTATATATACAGTACAGGCCAAAAGTTTGGACACACCTTCTCATTCATTGCGTTTTCTTTATTCTCATGACTATTTACATTGTAGATTCTCACTGAAGGCATCAAAACTATGAATGAACACATGTGGAGTTATGTACTTAACAAAAAAAGGTGAAATAACTGAAAACATGTTTTATGTTCTAGTTTCTTCAAAATAGCCACCCTTTGCTCTGATTACTGCTTTGCACACTCTTGGCATTCTCTCCATGAGCTTCAAGAGGTAGTCACCTGAAATGGTTT